ATTTTCTGGTTGAAAGACTTAGAATCTAGTCATTTCTCGCTAGTCTCCCCAGGAAATAAACTTTGGTACTCCGCGTTCTCTTGTTGCATTATATTATGTATTGCATATCAGTCTAGTTTACATTTGAATTACTTTAGAAAAATACTGAATGACTCTGGACAACAGTAAATTCTAACTAGTGAGTTGATAAAATGTAAACCTTTCCCATCAAAACCATTAATGATGTTTTTCGAAACTTTAAAACGTGTAGGACTCCGGGTTGGTTAGGTTCTAAGGAAACAAACAACTATTTCACCCCATAACCTTGTTAGGAAGGTCAACCTATATACACATGCATAATGAGGTGCCTTAAAATAGAAGGTGGCCCAATGAGGTTCAAATGAATGGTCTGTAAAAAGAACAAGTCTTCTCTCCTACAGGAGAGATTGAGGCATTAGTTTTACTGGAAAGATCACCCTTAAATAAGAGGCCAGTGAAAGACTGAATATTAATTTAGTTATAAAATATGGCATACTTTGATTTTAGTTGTAAAATTTGGTATTTCAAAATAAATCCCTATGTTTCATTCTCATAGTACATATATAGAGGGAGTCTCCCTCAGAGAAAACCTAACTCCCAAACCTAATAAAAAAGTCCCTCAGGAAGTACCACTTTGTTGTTGAATGATTTTTATAAGACTCTCATAAATCACGGATAGGATGAACTGTCTAGGGGATATTTTCCCTAAAGTAACACATTCTGTATGTAATTTGGAGACATTACTACAAGATTTAGGACTTACCGACATAGTACAAAGAATCAGTAAACATAAAATGTGGTCTAGGAAGACAACTGCAAATTCGAAAACACTACAATTTATGAAACCATAATTAAAATGAAGATGGGTAATGTTCAGGGTACCAAATGAAAGACTAAGTGTGGTTTGTAATTACTGGTTAGGATTTCCAATGTAATTTGTAAAACTAAATGAGACAGTGAAATTAAAGGTAAAGAAATGAGGACCAGGTCTAGGATATAGGAGGCATTTTATATATTGTAGCTATCCATATTCTTACATCAATGCAAGTACGGAGATGTTTCCTTCATAGACACATGCTTTCTGGTAATGAGAGTATATAAAGTCCCTAGTTCAGATGACCAAATTGTATTTTGGACCTTATACAATAATTCATTCATGTTTTGTTGCCCAGACCCTACCCTAAATGAATTGAATCAGATTCTACGCAGGAGGACCCCAGGCACAAGTATTTTTCAAAGCTTCTGAGGTGACTTCACTGACCAAACAATGTTGGAAATACTGCTGGATAAGACTCTAAACTCATCTAAAGAAGAAACTGTTTTAAGTAATTTGTTTTTATATGTTAACCTACACACAACATATAGCATAGTGCTTCCCCCCGCCCCCCGTTCATATGGCTTTGTTGAAGAATGTACAAATACATGAATAAATGGACAAACGAGTACACTTAGCTGTGACATAGAGTTAAATGTTCCAGAAATTGAAAAGTAATATAATGACTCTCTACTATTTTATCTTCCAAAGTAATAAGATTTACTCAGAGGTCGAGCTATTCAAATTCCCCCAAGTTTTTCTTGGTAGAAGTGCACCCATTCAATACGTGATAGGTCTTGGGTGGAGCATTGTAAAGAGAGTATTTTTTCCAATTACACCGAGATGACCCTCACGGTCTACTCTCTATATATGAGGGATTGGAGTTAAGGATTTAAAAATTTTTTACCATCAGCTCACCCTCCCACATGAGTTGGGTAAAACTCGGTCCTCCTCCTGTGTTTCTCCTTTGCTCTTACGCTACTAGTACACTCAACACGTCTGATACCAGATGTGTGGGTTTTCTCCACATCAGGCAATTCTGTGACACCAGCTGAATGTCCTGCAATTGAACTCAACTGTGACACTATCTACCTGGAGGTAACATCAGATCCCACGGGATAAGGGCTCATTCTCACAAGACTGCCACCACCCCCCACCAAACACACGCACACTTCAGATACCAATTGCAAGTCTAGGTTGTTACCTGTGCTTCTGACCGATCAGCTATAAATCAGACGTTCCCATGGCCCCCTCGTCGGGTTTGATTAATTCGCTGGAGTGGCCCACAGAACTCAGGAAAACAGTTGACTACTGTTTACCAGTTGAATATGTAAGGGTATAACAAAGGATATAGAGGAACAAACAGATGCAAGAGCTACAGAGGGCAAGGTACCTGGGAAGGGGCACAGAGCTTCCATACCCTCTCCGGGGCCACCACTTTCCCAGCACCTCCACTGTTCACCAACCCGGAAGCTCTCTGAACCCCGTACTTTTGGGATTTTTATGGAGACATCATCACACAGGCATGACTGATCATTCACACCATTTTCATCTCCACTCCCCACTGACCTTCAGGGGCTACTCTCCATATATGAGTGATTGAAGAGCTTTTTTATCAACGGTTCACATTCTCACCCATAACACCACGCCACGCACACACAAACACATCATTTTGACTTTACACACTGCACGTGGATTTTCCCTCAAGACAGAGGAAAGTGGTAAGTCTGTGGAGCAAAGTGGAGACATGGTTATCTTCCCCCAGGTGTCAAGATGTTGATGATAATATTGTTTCTGCCCTGAACGATTTCATCTTCTGATGTTCACAAGGCCATCGAACAGAAATCAATTACAGATGCTAAGGAAGTTTTTAAAAATCCAATTTTGAAGAGATGTAATATGATGGTAATAAATGCTGGATCACTGACAGAAATTTAAGCTTAGAAATATTTAATTTAAACCTAAAAGTTTCTTTTTTTTAATCATGGAAGAAAATGCATATAGGCACATTTTAGCATCTACAATTGAAATTTGAACACTGATGTTACAAACCACAAAACTTCATTTAAATTTTATTATAAAGACCTTTATTTAAAGAAAGAACATAGTTTCTACTTCTTAGTTTTTATTTTGTGCCTTGAATGATCTGGAAATATAGAGGTTCTTCTGAATCCAGTGGGGAAAAATTATTTTTTCTTACACTTCTCTCTCCCTACACCAATCTGCACCATGTTAATCTGGAGGTAGGGAGAAAGCTGGATTCTTGCCACTTATAAAAATGATGAGGGTGTGCTCGCTTCGGCAGCACATATACTAAAATTGGAACGATACAGAGAAGATTAGCATGGCCCCTGCGCAAGGATGACACGCAAATTCGTGAAGCGTTCCATATTTTTTTATAAAGCAATTATACTCCAATAAAGATGTTAAAAAAATGATGAAGGGAAGAAAGAAAACCATGGCTTACAAGAAAAAGGCTGTAAGAAGTATAAAGCTATGCTTAACAAAATGTTCCTAAAGGAGCCATGTATAGACGCCCGGTGATGTTCATTTTATTATTCCTTATACTGTCCTCATAGATTTTCTTTCAGATCTCTCTGCTTGTACGTGACTGATGCTCTCAAGTGCAGAGGAAGCAACATAGCTATGGGAAAGTTATACGGAGCAGTTGGCAATCAACGTGCACTAGAAGGCTGTGCCCGGTGGTGAAATGTTATTAGTATCCTTCTTGGCACCAGAAACAAGTGGAACAGATGAAGTATTTCCAGGCTTCTTTGTAGGGCCTTGGGTCCAGTGTTCGGGACTGCTCCCTCCTGGGAGGGTAACTATCGCCCACTCCTGTTGGAGTTCCCAACAAGGACAGAGCCTCGGGAATAAATCTGTTGGACAGCGGCCAAGATCCGCCAAACTTTCCAACCACCAGGAGACACGAAGTTCCAAGTTTCCGGGTTTGAGAAGTAAGGCGGGAAAACGTGACTGGAGCTTTCCTCGTCCCACTTACGGAACAGAGAAATAGGGAGGCTGATTCCAGGTCTTCCGTGGACCTCCAAGAGAATTACTGGGCTTCCAACTAGAAAAGGACAAGAATCCAGTAATGGGCAATTAGCAAGCCCACGTGTTTTCCCTCCAGCCCAATCTTGTGTGCTGATCCTTGTTTTTCTATTTACCCTTTGAACTACCCCTGTGGTCTTTTGCGAGTCCTTAAGGCAGCCCTAGCCTTCGCAAACCCTCCTGGGGGACAGAGATCACGGGGAGGCGAGGGCTGGAGGCGGGAGCGAGCAGCAGGAGAGGGGAGACCCTTCCAGCCCATCCACACCCTGCAGTCCGTTCGCGTCCCTGGGACAGTGGCCCACTCTCAGCACGCAGAGAGTTGGCGCTCTCTGAGGGCTCCCAGCCCCGAGAGCGGCGCTGCCCGGAAAAGTCACCTCCACCAGAGAGTGGGAATAGGGCTGGGGGAGCAGACAGCGGGGTGGGGAACGGCCACGCTGCGGGAGGTGCGGGACGCAGAGAAAGAGGTGGGGACGGCCGCGGAGGGGGCGGTGGGAGCGGGGTGGGGCCGGGGAGGGGCTGCGGGGGCGGGCTGCGCCACAGCGCCCCCTGGCTGCGCACTCCCCGCCGTGCCCTGCGGTCGCAGCTGGCTCGGGCTCGCCGGCCCCTTTGTGTGCGACGCGCTGGCCCGGAGGAGCGTGGCCCGGGCGCAGCGGAGGGTCCCCGGGGTCCCGCCGCCTCGGCCTGGGCCTGGCAGCGCTGTCCTCCTCCTCCTCCTTCGCTCCACCCTTCGCCGGCCCCCGGACCCGAGCGGCCGCCATTGGGCCGCGAGCAGCCCGCGTCGTGCCGTGCACTCCACCCCGCCCGACCCCGGGCGCTCACACCCCCCTACCTCCCGCCCCGTCTCCCTCTCCAGTCCTCCCCCCATCCCAGGCCTCCAAGGTGGAGAAAATAAACTCAAAGCAGAGCAACTCAGAGACTCCAATAAAACGCCCAGTACCTAGAGCCCGAGCGCGAGCGCGTGTGCCGGGCGGCGAGGGGCGCGGGAGGCGGGGATGGGGGGGCGGGCGGGGGGGACAATGAGCGCATGAAGTTACCTGCCCGGCGGCGGCGGCGGCGGCTTAGAATGTCAGTTTCCAGGGTAACTAGTGTATTTTTTTCACTCTGTAACTTTTTAGGATTCCCCCCCTTTTCTTTTTCTTTTTTTTTTTTTCTCCTCTTCTTCTTAAACAAACCACAAACGGATGTGAGGGAAGGAAGGTGTTTCTCTTACTCCTGAGTCCAGACACCTCTCTCTGTTCCGTCTAAGCTTGTTTTGCTGGACACTTTTTTGAAAAAGGCAAAGAAAAGGAGTTGCTTGATGTGAAAGTGAAATGGACGTAAGATTTTATCCACCTCCAGCCCAGCCCGCCGCTGCGCCCGACGCTCCCTGTCTGGGACCTTCTCCCTGCCTGGACCCCTACTATTGCAACAAGGTGAATGCTCTGCTTTTGTTTCCGCCGTGTTCTGAGTGCTCGGTCCCGGGAGGGGGGCGGCGGCGGCGAGCCCGCTGGGCGGCCGGGCGGTCGGTCGCCCGAGGCCGGTCCCGGGCGCGCTCGGCTCGCAGCCCGCGGCTGCCCTGCGTGCCCTCGGGGAGTAAATATTGCGGAGCCGCTCCCGGGCTTTGCCCGGCCCCCGCGATGGTGCGGAAAGTGACACGATTTGCTCGATCCTTTCCTTCCTGCTGTTCGCGACTAAGGCTCCCTGCCTAGGTTTGCCGGGGGGGCGTTGAAAAAAATTAGGAAAGAACGGCGGAATACTTTGGGGGTGTGTCTGGGGTCCGGGAACACAGGCAGAGAGTGGGAGAATTCCGTTTATTTTCTGGTTTCCCCTTCTCCCTCCCTCCCTGCTCTCCCGGCGGTGGGGGCTCGTGGCACCGCTTCCCCGCCCGGGATTAGTTGCCAGGGGAGCCGCCGGGAGTCGGGGTGCCGGGACCCGGGAGACGCCCCCGCCCCACGCCGGGCACAGCGCTCCGCAACGCTTTTGTTTTCCCGAACCGGTCCGGGCGCCGGCCTGCGGGCCGGGGTGCCGCCGGGGCGCCGGGGCCGGGGGACAGCTCCCGCCCGGGGGTGCGCGCAGAAACAGCAAGTTTGTTAGGAGCCGGGCGAGCGCGTCGCGTTCACGTCCAAAGCTGCCGCCCTCGTCGCGGGGCTGGAACAGGTCCCGGGCTGGGCTATGCTCACAGCCCGGTGACCCCAGGTGCCGAGGCCGCGGGGGCCCGGGGCGAGGCGGGTCATGAGGGTGACTGGGGCTACCGCGGAGGTCCGCTCGTCCGAAGGATGCAGCAGTCAGGGCGTACGTAGGGAGGGGGTGACTCTCGGGGATCCTCGAACTCTCAGCCCGAGGTGGGAGGACGCGCGGGGACCAGACTCCGAGAGCAGCCGCAGGTCCACGGCTGTCCTCGCCTCGGGCTTTTTGGACGTGTCTAAGCAGTCCTGCCCGGTGAACGTGGCGGGGAGAATGGAGTTCTCTGAGACTCAGGGCGAGACGTTTAGACGCCCAGTTCCCGCTCCGTGGTAACCCTGTCAGATACTCCCAGCCCCTGCGAGCAATTCCGTGTCGGCCCCTCGGTGAATTCCGCTGGATAAATCGTTGGGACTAGTAACATTTGCCTGGTGGCGAGTCATCATCAAACAGCTTTTTTACGCGACACAGAGGTATTTAGCGCGCTGCATCCTCAGCCCCCAGGCTCCCCATCACGCAACGAACTCGCAATTCCGAGTCTTGGTCAGTCGACACGCGCACACACACACGCACACACATACACACACACACACACACACACACACACACAGAGCTGTGAGTTATATCACCCCGTGGAGAAGCTCCCCGATGCCGTGTGTGCAGTACAAAACCCAGGAAAAGGGATATGCATGTGTTGATGATGTTTAGGCAAGTTAGAAACCAGGGAAATCTAGTCTTGTGCAAGGCAGAAAGGCTTTTCATCCTGCAGGAAGGGGCCCTTTAGCTAGGGGCAAGTTGGAAGGCATGGGTAACTTTGGCCAGAGAAGTTTGCGTGATGAAGATTCATTATTTGTTGGTAATACAGTCTGTTTTGCCTTAATGAGCAGGTCTTTTTGTGTTTGCAACATTTTATTTTTGCTTATAACACTACTACTACTAACAATAATAATAAAGTAGCAGTCTTAACTTGGATAGTAAAGACGTATTCCGCAGTAGTAATTGGAACCAAAAGGTCAGAAACATTTTGGCAATGAAACTGGACAAATCCTATTAAATTTATCAGTGATTTTAGGCTCCAAAAAGAAGGTAATGACTTGGATACACATTTCACTCGTCATTCTTGTGATAGTAGGGTCAGATTTAATTTAAAAGTTAAATGCTTTGGAAAATCAAGAATTACTCCAATATATTAAATCATTTTCCAGTTAAGTGCTTTAAATAATTTTAGTGGGTTGTGCTGTGAATTGAATAAATTAATTTAGAAAGTCTTCAGGATTTCTTTGCTAGCTCATTGAAGTTCCTTTTAAGTCACCCGGTGTATGAGGAGCAAACTGTTCTTTTAAAATGCAAATTAGCCACCCTTTCTATAGACTAGATGCAAGTCTTCTATTTTACTTATCCAGGGAATAATGAATTTTTAAAGATGCACAGTCATAAGATACACTTTTAATAGTAGGAAGAGACTTCATGGAAATGTTTCTCACAGGATATCTGCTCCTGCCTTTCTCTGGGTAGCAGTCTAACAAATATATTTGTCACTGATCCCAGCTTATATTCAGTGTACTGAGTAGGTTTGCTAGGCCCCAGAAAACCCGGGCACTAGTGTTTTCTACTCCATCATGATTAGCATTGGCACAAAATTTCTGTCCAACTCCACAGTTTTAGTTGCTTAGAATGTAGTCAACCAGAATTCATTTTTACAGTGACTCAGGTAGATCTGCAGGGATCTGAAAGGTGGGCAGAAGTTTGAAAGAGGTGAAATAAGAAATCTCTATCCACATTTAGTAAAAACAAGTTGGACCTGACTTCTCCCAGGGAGAGGAGACTGCAAAGTAAACCTTGTCTCTTTCAGAGGTGTCATGAATACGTAGTTTATTACAAGAAACAGTCACTTTGTCAGGTTATTTGTTTTCAGTAGGATGATAAGATCATAAATTACTAATTGTCTTTATTTAAAATCTGTCAACACTTTACTAAAGTCAGTGTGCTGAATCCCAGAGGAACCAGTATCTTTCTGTGCTTCAGCATCACACAGTTGTAACTAGTTTCTCCAGTGACATTTTTTTCAATGTCAGAAGAGACCCTAATCCAGAAAATGAATATCCTCTTCCTGAAGCTTTTCTAAACTAAAATGAGGTTGTTTTACTTTGCTGACATTTTCCAGCACTGCTGCTCTGTAGATTGCCAAAACACTACTTACATTGTTCAGTTAATAAACTCTGTAGGAGGAATTTTTTGGAAAACAGTTTAATTTGGTATCGCTTTATCGTAAGAGCACATTACATTATGAGCACATCACTATGCAAACTGGCCTCTGTTTTCACATAGCCCATTGCAGGAGAAAAGTGAGAACAATGCAACAATGCTGGTTATGGCAACTGTGCGAGACATCTCTTATACAAACAGCCAGAACGGATGGCACGTTGCTGTATATAGGTCAGCCTTTGAAATAGCAGTGTAGCTCATAGACTGGACAGAAACAAGTAGGCTGGAAGTAACAGTGCTCACCTCTGTCAACTTAAAGCCTGGCTATATTTCAGACATTGAGAGATGGGTACCATACTGGAGTTTCGTCGAATTAAGGCCATTTTAAGTAACAGTGTATCCCTTAATTGAGCTGAATGTTACCAAAAGAAATTGGATTATAGGAGCTCACAATTGGAGTCCAGTAGTAAAACAGAGTCCTCTTTTTTGGTTCTAGTTGAAGATGTCAGAGCATCAGTTTAAATATATACCCACAGAGTAATAACAGTTCCTTTCAGTTTCTTAATGCAGTGTCATTTCTGAAGATTGTTTTCACTGATTTTATGCTAAATTGGGACAAAGAAGTGGCACTTTTTCAGTTTTGCAATGATATGATGTGTTCAGTTATTGCTCAGTATCTGCCCACAGAAGGAGTAGTAATACAATTATGTTATGACATGGCTAATGACAGGGATGCTGACCTCTGCCAGCAGTGGGAGAGGAAATAATGGTCTTTACTGTTCTCAGCGGTTGCTTTTGTGGAATCAGGTCCTGAATCTTTCTTTGGTTGATTTAGACCCAAGGAAGTTCAAAACACAAACCCATACTGGCTATATACAGAGTGAAGAATAATGGGCGTTTGGAATATTGGGCTTTTATCATTGAAATGGGGGAGGACAGTGTATAATCTTTTCACATAAACATAGGAGGAAGGACCTATTTGTGATGAACTCTGCGTTAAAATGTCAGGGCTAACATTAGACATTTGATAACTTCTGAGAAAAACAAGATTTATTATCATCTCTGCAAAATCTCCTTCGAGTTTATTTTCCTATTTAGAGTATTACGTATTGTACTTTAATGGGGCAAAACTCATCCTATCTAAAATACAGGATTTGCAAGCACATTGTGATGGAGTCATTATTTCTACTTCAATAAATGTAAGAAAAAGGAGGAGGTGGAAGGGGAGGGTTATAAGCAATCTAGAGCATCATGCTTGATTAGCTCTCCACCTACCCCCCATAACTTCTAGGACTTTGGGAAATTCATAGTCAATACTCTGAACATCGTTAGTGTAATTAAAACTCCCATGGGAGTGTTATTAAGCTGGCATCTTTCATAAGTTTTGAGGTCTTTAAGTATGTTTTAAATAAATTTATAGGTAAGAGCGTAAGTCAAGTAATCATATGGTTTTGGCCACTAAATCAGATAGCATACAAAACCCTCAAACGTAGCTAGCTATCTTGACTTTGTGGAATACTTCAGTGTCATAAACTCCAATTTTAAATGTCTATGCAACAATTACAGTTTTGAGCTTTGGAGCTCATGATGTTATTTCTGACACGCTCGCATGGTTTAGTGTTCTCACAGTTTATCGTACGTGTTAGAAGTTACTGAGTGACGATACTAAGGAACGTTTTGATATTTTGCTTAGTTGTAAAAACTAAACTGATATTTCAATATGATCTCAGTTGTTTGTTGTAGTTTTTTTTAAAATGACATGATTGCAAGGGCTTAGAACAGAGGAAAGAAGTAAGGTACTTGAACCTGAAAGAAGTAGGGAACGTTCCAAGTTTAAGAATGGTTTTCTTGGTACCAAAACTGGGTCTCAAATGTTGGTTTTGGTGTGTGGAACTATTTCTTGTGGGCATACTTTTTTTGTGTGATGGGCTCAATTCAAGAAAGGGATGGGGGCTTCCCTGGTGGCGCAGCGGTTGAGAGTCCGCCTGCCGATGCAGGGGACGCAGGTTCGTGCCCCGGTCCGGGAAGATCCCACGTGCCACGGAGC